CTCTCTCTCTCTTTCTCTAACACACACACACGCGCGCGCGCGTATATATGTGTGTGTATGTATATGTATGTGTGCGTGTGTATGTATATGTATATATGCATGTGTGTGCACATGCACACATGTATATGTTGGTATTGGTAGATGCTAAATTCTTTATATATTCTAGTCTGTTATATACAAATAGTCAGTATAACTATGTTTAAGCTACATGTTGTAATACTTGTGGATGCAGCAGAGGTGTGTGTATTAATTTGCCAGGGTTAAATACTTATATTGAGGGTTTTCTTTATATTTCATTTATGCCCTGAATATCAACTTGGGGTTTGAAGCCAATGGAAACCTTCAAAGTAACAAGACTAGGATTAATTAGGTAATATTTGCAAAATTCTCTGGAGACTGAAAATGCTACTAAATGCTCAATGTTCTCACTAGGCCTTGATTTTTGCACAATCCTTAGTGACACTAACTGTGGTTGCTGTTTGGAAAGATTAGATCTTTTTATAAAATATATCTCTACTGCACTTGTCTTCATCTAATAGGATAGCAAGCATTCATGTTTGAGTTCCCCAGTATAATCTTTCCAGCTTGAGGGCCAACTGTATTATTTTTAAAAGGTCAAGGAGGGACAGTGAATACTTTCAAGCAGGGGCTCAGGCAACACAGAAGTAGGAGGCAGTCACCTGTACATCTCCAGTGCAGAGATTCCTTAATTTTGTAAGACTCTGTAGCAAGTGTCCAACTAGCATAAACAGCTTCTGCTTCTCCTTCTCCCTCTCTATAGCTTCTTGCTCAAGGGTTTGTGTTTGGGGATGGTGAGGATGCTGGACAGTGCATGGAGCATGTTTTGTTCATGATTCCATGTAGATGATATACATTTTTGCTAAGGTAGGTAGCTGGCACAAGTTACAGTGGCAACAAGATTACTTTATCTTGATCTGAGGAAGAGAATCAGAAAGGTATGACTGGTTATTAGTTCTCAGCTTGATCTCTATTTTTCCAGGCCTGCACGGCTTTGGATGCCTATGAAGGCTGCCCTAGGTTTTGGTATAGGATCCAGGGGCAGTACAGGGTGGGGATAGAGGTGTGCTGTTGCATCTCCCTATGTCTGTGCTGCACACGCACACTGAGCTCTCTGAACAAACTGGCTTGTCAGTGTGGCTCCTGCCAGCCACTGCTTTGGTGCACCTCTGGAACCCAGGGGGTGAATGCTGCCACTTCTCTGCTTCCCAGCCCTTTGCCCACTGCCAAATTTGGCAGCAGGGGAAAAACAGGGTGAGTGGCAGAGGTGCTCACTCCTGGGTTTCAGAGCTGCACTGACAAGCTGTTGAGCTTAGAGAGCTCACTATGCCTATTCTGCAAAGTCAAAGGGGTTGCAGCCTCATCCCCAAATCAGATGTACATTTGTTTCATCATACAATCACCCTCAAAGGTCACAAGGGTGTCCAGGCCAAAGGATACAAACCATTGCTCTCTCTTCTCGACTTGATGTAGAAATGCACCTGGGGTATGGAATTAGTATAAGGTGCACAGTAGGTTTCAAAAGGAATGCATCAAATGTTTAAAAATCAGACAATGTGACTAAAGGAAGTAATTTGTACTGTAGTTATTCAGCCCTCTAAAATTTGGAAAATATCCAACTCAGCTGTGGATTACTTCGGATCTATACCAACTCCACTTGTGACTCATACTTCACTGCTCTTCTGTTTTTCTTCTTGGCAATAAAGGTAACTTACAGCATTCTGAATTCATCTCTAGTGTAGAAAGCAAAACCTAATAGCCAGCACAGCCAAGTGTGAAACAATTCTTCACTAAAAATTCCATCTCTCTGTTTTTACCCCCACTGCTATGATTGCATTCAAACAGCTGTAGGCTTCAGTAATACTGCAGTATTTTGCATTCAGTTTGTAATTAAAAGATTCTCATAGCCAGGGAACTGAACAATGAGTTTTTTTCTCCTAAATAAAAACTGGTTCAACTGTGAGTGAAATGCTATTAATAGCAACAATTGTGCAGATGCCAAGTGGGCGGATTCAGTAAGGGTGAAATAATAAAAAAAACCATTAGTGTGTTACAGAAAGAACAAATGTAAAATAAATCATTAAAAACAAGTTTCACTGCTTCCCTCTTTTCTTTGCCTCATTCATTTTCCATAATAGGTATAGTGATACTTTTGTAAATAGAGGAAGATGAATTTTCCCTGGTTTAATTTTTTTTCTGTAGTAAACCATCAGTAGTTCATAGATATGAGGATACCAGACATTTAATTTAATTTTAATAATTAATTCTCATAAAATTTATACTTTACCCTCCCAGGACTTTACTACTATGAGCAATCATATGTTGCCATGAATCCATATAAACTTCATGTATTTGATTATTGTACCATAATGAGTTACATTAAGGAGGTTTTGAAAGGGACCACATTTATTCATGTACAGATATAAAACAAATACATAAGGGCTGCTTGCAGACATTAACAAAAAAAGTGCTGCTTTATTTTAAACTCAGTGTGCTCCTGCACTAAGCCCTACACCTGACCAGAAGAGGCCGTACTTTAGCTGGCCCCATCTCACCCAACATCTGTATAGGTCAGGCGCTTTAGTGGGGCTTTTTTGGTGCTTTTATCTAATAGTTGATTGAATCAGTTTTAGCTAAAAGTGCCAAAAAGCACCTCTGAAGTGCCCAATCTACACAGGGGCTGGGTCGAAGTAATATGCTGCTTTTCCCACTAAAGTGCATTTTTTTGTTTTGTTCTTTTTAACATCAGCAAGCAGCCAAGATGCACAAACCTCTGTTTATGCACACAGCTGTTGAATATTGCTGATAGATCACCTTCCTTTGACTGGTATCACAGTAGCATGGATTGAGTTAAACTGGTTCTACTAACTGTGTAATATGGGTAAAAGAAATTGTCTTCCTATGCAGCATTACATACCTTACATTCTTTGAGTCAGGGGAGAAGAAATCAATACTTGGTATTGCAGACAGGTATAGTTATATCCTTGATATTGTTGGGATAAAGTGGATGTCTTGGGTCCCGTGTTCTAGTCTCTAGGGCTAAGGAGAGACAGTCAAAAAGCCCCAGGATGACTCGCTTCAATCTTTGCAGGTTTCTCTAAACTGCATAGATTGAACTGATAATAAAATGCACTGATGTTCACTTTTGAAACTGGAAAGGCAACCAAACCCATGCAGTGGCCGATACCAGGTGCTGGGGGCACTAGAGCATGCCTCCAAAGCCTGCTGGCCACTGCCAAAGGCATCCAGATGCCACCCAGGGCTCCTCCTTGGTTGGCTGCCCAGCCATATGCCCCCCCCGACCCTTTGCTATCCCCGACTAGGGAGAAACATTCCCTCCAGCCCGGGGCTGGTTGGATCCCCCAGCCTCAGTGGGGGTTCCCCGCCCCTGGCATGTTCCCCGAGCCCTGCTCCTGATGCAGGCAGGGGATTCTCCCCTCCCAGCCCCCAGTCCGGTCCGGCAGGTTTTGACCCCACACTGGGCTGACAGGCACAGGCAGAGGCTAGGGAGCTGGAGGCTTTACTGCCTCTGCTCTGTGACAGCTGGGGGCAGGGCAAAAAGTCCAGCGGGGGGGAGCTTTCCCATCCTCATGCCTCGCAGACCCCGGCTGGGGGCCTGGTGCTGGGCTGGGGGAATTGTGTTCCTTGGCCCCACAGCCCCTCAGACCCAAGGGCAGCTGGCAAGGGTTGGGGCTAAGGTGATTCCAGTGCAGTTGAGGGTCTGTGGGGGGCGATCAGTCCCACAGAGGGTGCTTTCCCTCCCCTTGTGCTGTGCAGACCCACATTAGGGGAGCCTAGGGTCCATTCCCCTGCCCCTCATCCCACCAGGCCGACAGCCACAGGCAGAGGCTATGACGCAGAGGTTTTACTGCCTCAGCTCTGAGAAAACGGGAGAGTGGGGCCAGCCCTGCTCTGCTGGAGCAGACAGCACAGCCCAGGGCTGCAAAGCATCCTGGCGTGACTGTGCGTTAACTTGAATCAGGAGGGGATCTGGGACAGAAGTTCCATAAACTAGTTTGACTTAAATCAGTTTAGTCTCATACTACATTCATCCAGGTTTATCTTAAACCAGTTTCAGTGATTTTGAAAGTGGTGTATGTGCACTGAGCTTTTGTTCTGTTACAGGTTTAAACTGGTTTCTGATCACTTAGACTGGTTTATGTCAACTTCTGTCCCTAGGCCCAGAGAACAAATTATGCTAAAATCACTCTATTTTCATTTTCTGTATAGTTCCCATATTTGGCACAGGGGATTTTTCTCCTTTATGGATTAAGGTATACAATTTGGTTTCTAGATACTGTGCTTTTCCCAACTGGCTGTCAACCATTTTATACAAATACCATGTCAGTATCACCTTGTAAATGGACTAATGTATTCATCATATAGAACCAGGGTAGTCATTAATATTCTTACAATCACCTAAAGGCCAGATCTTGGTCAAATGGCCACTGAATTTTAGTTGTTTGTTTGGTAAGTATACTTAAATAGATTTTTTTAAAAAAAATTAAATAATGTTTATTTAATTTTAAATACATCTTATCAGTTTAAAAATGTTTGCAATGGAAACTGAAAATCAGCACTGAAAATCAGTGTTACCGTATGGAACTTTTTATAGACTTTTCATCAAATAGTGGATATGTTCATTGTGTTAGAAGTAAGCACTGATATGAAATAATCTTTGGACTGTTACAATGAGGTCAGGAGGCCTCAGCATCACAAGACAGGTGTGCAGCAACTTTTTGCTCCAGGAATGTCGACTGTATCTTCTGCACTGCTATGCCTGGTATATAACATGGCATATGCCCACGTTGGAAGAGCTGGCTGAACAACAGGGGTGAAGCAGAAGCTGAATAGGAAGTCTGAAGCCACTGCAGATGTTGAGATCATCTGGTACCTTCTAGGTATGAGCTTCTTTTTACCAACAAAATGGCATAGCCTTGAACTATTTTGGATACATGTATAAATACATTTTTTTTTATTTTACTGTACTCCGTTGTTTAACATTAAATTAAAATTGAAAAAAAAACAAAGCGTATGGGCCACCTCACTTTGTCACTGTGAAAATTACTCTCCCCTCCTCAGCCCCCTCCAAAGTACTATGGTATGGAGCAATTTGGCTAAATTCTGATGATCTAGAAAATCAAGAGAGAAGGATTTTCCCCTGAGTTCCCCAAATTTATGAAGAGAAATTAGTTGTTACTCATTGAAGTGGGCACATGATTGCCAGTGTACTTCTCCATAAGTAACTTTGATTTACTTAAAGTACCTGGCCTCTGTTTTGAACACTGGGTCATGCTGTATTTAATCCAAGCCATTGTGCCTTGCATCTTGCATTGTGTTTTTGCCCTGTTCTTATTTATTCATCTAAGAGGCATTTATGTCAATGTATTATAAAAGCTGTATTTTGGTCTCCAATTTCCTTTCTTCTCAGTCTCATGGGACTGAAAGACTCAGACCCTGAGAAGCAGAGTCATGCTGTTTCCACCTCTCTTAAGGATCAGTCATGAACATTTAGGAGTAATGTGATGGTTGGGACTGTTCTCTGCCTCCTGTTAACAAATGGCTCTTGATACTCCACTGTGTCCAGAGGCAGTAAGACATGGGTATGCCCTGACTCAGTATATTTTTCCTCTTCATTCAAGATTTTTGTACTGTTTTGAAAAGGAGGAGGTGGAAATAGCATTGTCTATAAGAAGCAAACAGAGCTTGGAAGAGGCCAGTGGTAAAAGATAGGTACCCAAGGACAATTTGGGAAAAGGAGGTGAGAGTTCTGTGTCCTTCCTGTTTTTTCCCTTTATCTCTAGATACTGGGGAGAGGGGGTCATGTTGTTTACCCTTTTCTACGCAACGTAGATCTTTATGGTCTGTAGAGCATATCTGTAGATGGAGTGGAGCGCTACCATGCTCTGCCTAGACCTTGCTTTCTCAGAGCTGTCCCTAGATATTCTGTAGCCCAAGACAAGGATCTCTGCTGTCAGATATGGAACTATAAGACTTTCAGGATCATATGCAGTAGTGTTTGGGGGAAAAGAGAGGAAAAATAAATCTCAGATGTTGAACAGAAAGAATTCAACAGCTTTTGTTTGTTTGTTGTTTGTTTGTTTGTTTGTTTGAAAGATACTGCTTGTGCTGGATGCCAAGTGTGTGGATTCAGCTTCCTTCTGGAACCTGGACAGGTTACCCCTGGGAAACCTTGCATTGTGCCTGGCCCTGCAGAGAACATGGAAGGAGAGAGCATCTATGAGATTGATTCTGAAGATGGGGTTGGAGGTAAGGGTTCCTGTCACTTTTACTATTTATTTATTTTTACCCCGATTCGCTGGTTACAGGAGTCCTTACAGGCAGCTGGATTCCAGGTACCACCAAAAGCTTTTAAATTTGTCCTTAGTTGCTGATTGTACTGTGTCACCTTTTAATACATGCAATAAATAAAGGTAATTTTTGCTACATCACTGGGTTCTGTCTTAAATTAGATTTTGAGTTCTTCAGGAGAGATTTGTGAAGTGCTAGTCAGTGATGGGAACCTTTATGCAGTGCAGTAATACAAATAATATGTTACTTTATTTTGATCTAGACACACATTTGATAGCATTGTTCTGGAGAGTGTGGGATCTAGTCCTACTCATACAGAGCTTTGTGTTTTATCATATTTCCAGCAAACTGACAGAATCCTTAACATAGAGGCCTGTACTGATTTCTAGGAATAGGAAGAGACTTAATTCCAACCTAGGATTGTTTCAAAATAGTTTTCATTTCAAGAGACTGTTAAACACATGCACTTGCCTAAAGATGGTGCCATATCCTGTCTGCCCAAACCGTTGAGTAAAAGAGTTATTTAAAAGTCACTTTGCTGTTCATCTCCTAATATACACTAAAAAAATCCTTGCTTGCAATTCTTCACCTATCAGATAATATAGGGAATAGCTAAATGGCTTTGTAATTTAAAATCTAAAGGAGCTGAGATATCTTCTTTGCTTTTTTTGCATTTCTTGAATGTGGCTTTGGGTAAATCAGTTGAGTTCTTTGACTTTTCCCATTAGTACTTCTGTATCCAGATTATAAGAGTTTGGTGCTTTTAGATTAAACAGGGGGTTCTAAAGAGGGAATATTAAATTCTTTTGCAGAACATTTTACAATTTTATTAACTCTTTTTTTGTATCTCAACTTAATCAAATTTGGCTTAACCATGTAGAATTAATGTAGACTTCAGAGCTGCATCTGTGGATCAAACCAAAGTAAACTGTCCGTGTGATTAAAGTGGAATCAAAATGAGTGGTGTGTTTCACTGATATTCAGTACAAGACCTTTTGGTATAAACGTATTTCTTAAGGGCTAATTTATTTTAATGCAAAATGGGTCTAAGCCTAAGAGAGTTTACTGATGCTAATTGGAGTTTAAAGTGCTTTGCAGCCATTTGAGGCCGGTTCCAAAATGTTCACAAAATGACCCTGTTATTCAATATTTCACTCACCCACATGTATGTGTGGGAATTCCAGCCAATATTTTCAAACTTGTGAGCTTAAAATAGTGCTTTTAAATTTACCTTTAGGGATCTCTTGTTATCTCCTATGGAAGGATCAGTACCTGGGGGAGCCTGTTCATGGATTTGAATTCTTAATTTTAGGCTCCAAAGTGCCCAAAAGCTTGTCTAACATTTTTTCCAACTATATGGTGGGTTGAGCAGAAGATATTGCCAAACAAATATTGCTTCCCACATGTTCCCTGGACCATCATTCACCACCGCAACAACAGTACTTTAATTTTAATGCAGTTCAGAAGGCTGCATTGCACATACCCTGCTCAGCATCTTTACTCTGAAACACCATTTTCTCACTCAGTAGATTTTCCACTGGCCCTCAGAGAGAAGGTGGATTAGGGTTTCCAACCCTGCTACAGTACTTGTGTTCTCCTTGGTTCAGGGAATACCCTCTAATGCCTCTGGGGTACAGACTACCTCTAAAAGGACTAGGGAGGAGATTTAAACCATTTTGAACTCTTCATTGGATTTTAGAATTGGCCAACAGAAACGGAGCATGTTCTACACCCTCCCAAAGGGTAATTAAACAGCGTTGTTCCCCAAAAGCTCAGGGAGGCATTGTACCTTCCTGAGACCCGCGACGTCCTCTGAGAGTGTGTGCTTGTCACTGTGTTCATCATGGGCCTGTACCAGGCAGGCGTTGTTGGCTTTAATTATTGATATGTGAGTGAGTGTCCCCACTTCTGGTGTCTCAGCCATCTCGACCTGTTTCTAAGAGAAAAGTAATTAGATGGTTTGGGAAAAAAAGATTTGTTAATTTTCAGGAATATTTTCAACTGTTCCCTGAGAAACTTGCAATCCCTTCTAACATATGCTGATAACTTTCATGTGGCTACCAATCTAAAACCAGGATCATCTCTCTTATCGTTCGATCAGTTGCATTATTAGAGTCTTTAAATGTGTGATTGTATTTGTTTTGAGTCTGCATGGTGAACATAAAAAGGCTAAATCGATGCTGTGGATAAATGTTTCCTTGCAGGTGGCATACTGTAATTTAATAAGTATCTGAGGATTTGGTTCTGCATCTCAAAATCAAGCGCTACGGGAAGAAGTGTAGACCCTCTCAATCCCTGATGTAACTCTACTAGCTTTTGTGGTGTTACACCAGGTCCAGATTTGGCCCAGTATTTTCACTTGTGGCTTTAATTCAAGGAAAAAATCCCTACTGTACATTAGCTAGGTTGCAAGTCAGTTGCTATGGTACTCAGCATTTTTAACCAATCAGCTTTCTTTTGTGGTGATTCAGGCCAGAGTAACAAATCAGTCACACTGCACTAGAGCTGTAATCAAAAAGGCAGCTATTGTTGGTTTTAAAGCCAACAGAGACTATGAGAACAGAAATATTTTGGTGTAAGAGTATAGGTACAGTACTGCATGTATAAAGTATATTCTGGAATATTTGAACTGAATTTATCCTATGAATGATATGTATTTTTTAAAATAATAATCAGTGTGGAGCTAATGGATTAAATTCTCTCTTGTATATCCTTCCATGGGCTTTAGTAAAATCAACATAAAAACTGATTAAGAGATTTTCTTGTATAGCCATCTGGAGGATTATTTTGTTTTTGAGTTACTATATAGCACCATATTATTGCCACAATAATGCTTGCTAATAGAAGGTTCCCAGACTGCTGCTTCTCTGCTTCTTTCTTATATTATCTGGCAAATCAGAAGATGCTGCTGAACTGCTGCAGTAATGTATTTTTAAAGTTCTGGCTGTAGAGGAACTCAGTTTCTTTTTTTTATTTGATCTGAGAAATATAGTATACTAAAGACAAAAACAGATATCAAGAACTATGATATCACAAGTCAAATGAGGTACCCCTAGCATTAATATATGCAAAAGTGTATTTGATCATGGAAACAAACAGCTGACAAGCAGGTTCCTTTAAGGGAATAGGTAACCCAGCAACGTTGGATATCTTAACAGCATTTGATACCCTCTACCACGGAGTCCTCATGTCCCAGCTCTTTGAAACCCTGTGCTGAGAAGCCTTCACTCATTGCCCTCAGGCTGCACCCACAGACTTGTGATGTGGATATGCTTCTCTACCTCTGAAGCCCCTACCTGTGGAATCCCACAGCTCTGTCCCTTCATACTGTGACATCTAAATGAAGTCAGTATGCAGTCACTAGTGAACAATCACAGACTGAAATTATAGCAGCGTAGAAATGAAGTTCAGGTTCCATTGGAAGGGAACAGCACCATCTTCCACCTAGTTAAAGCTTGGTTGAGCAGGGCAACCGGGTGAAGTGCACTTGCTTAAAATAGTGTTGGTGGAGAGTGGGAAGCATCTTCCTTTGCAGTGTTAAGGAAGTCCATAGCTTCAGCAGATGCCTGGATTCCTCGCTGCTTCTGGATACCCATATAGACAGACCCAAGGTCAGCAGTTTTCTTTCTGCAGCTGGCAGAGGGGACTGTACATTCTCCCATGAGATTTAGATTTAGCATCATGACCTCCAGATTTGATTCATGTAATTCCCTGTGCCTATTTAAAGGGCTATACTTAGGTCCATACACAGTTGACCATGTGTTCAACCACACAGGCGGCCTGTGTCGGTTGTCCAAGTCCAGCTGATGGTCTCTAGATCTTTATCTTTAAAGCCTTTCATGGGACTGGCCCACATTGCTTGGGGAGCTGCCCAACACCCATGCAGTCATGTCCTGCACAGCATATATCCCCCTAGAACAGTAGAACTGCAAGCTTTAAGAACAAAGCTTGTTTGTGCAGGACACCAGGCTTTCTTGGTTTCTGGCCCAGGGCTCTTCAGTGCACTCTCAGAAGAAATCAAGAGCACAAACCACAGCACATTTCAAATAACGTATCAACAAAAGATAAAACAGAACAGAGTCCAGTCCCTTCAGACTGGTAGGAAGAGCAACAGACTATGTTAGATATTTATAGACTGTTTCTGTGTCCAGTACTCAGTAAAACACAAGCCTAAATGATCTGAACCAAGCAACGGAATTGGACTGCTCCTCGTAGTGTCTCCCACTAATCTGGCTCATTTAGTTAAATTAATTTCAGGTCAGTTGCAATTTATACTGGTTGTGGGTCTTAAGAGAGAAGCATGTATGTTTTTGATTGACATCTTCCTACTTTTTGTAAAATTATGCCCAGGCACTGTTTTAGCCACAGAAGACATGAACTTTTTTTGAATACTAGAGGCATCAAAGGCAATGGAAAGATGTTTGTGTGAAACACTCCAAGTTTCCCTTCAGTTTGGAGTGGTCCAAATTCAAAGGGCTTCAGGCCATGGACAGATGTGCAAGCCTCTGCTTGAGTGCTTTAAAATGGCTGTGACAGCATGCTGCAGCATTTTTTCCAGCCAAGGGGCATGACAGCAGGTTGCTCAGTTCTGCAGCTCCATCTCCTTTTACCCTGCTCCATGGAGGGCTGGGGAGGGGATGAGAAGGTGAGAACAGGGCAGACAGCCAATGTGCACTCTCCTGTGCACTTGGTAACATTTTGAGTCATTGTTGGCAATCTCTGTACAAAAATCAGACATAAGACTGGAAACAAACCAAATCATGATATGATGGGTTTCTTTACAAAGGAACTACAACATTTTTACCATACTGTATGTTAGGCAGAGATGTCAAAGATACCTTGATATATCAGAGAATAAGTTATTCTCTGTAGAATTCCTAGGCCCTCCGCAGGACCAAATCATCAAACCTCTGGAGCTCCTAGAGAGACTGGGACTTTGAGAGTGGGATAGGGCTCCC